TGCCCCCCAGGTCACGTGACCCCGGGGGGGGGGGGGGCTCGCGCAGTGCATTATGGGACCTTTCCCATAATGTACCGCGCGGTTACGCCGACGCCGATGGCGACGCCGCTCAAGCCGGAAACGGGCGTGAAAGCTGTTTACAACTCCCTGTAACGCCGAATTGGGGCGCAGCTCTTGAGGAGGAGTGAAGGGTACCGAGGGGAGGGTAGACCCCTCCTCCCCTCATTCTTTAATATGCTCCGGGGGGGGGGTCACGTGACCTCGGGGGGGGGGGGGGTGTCACGTGACTTCGGGGAGAGGGTCACGTGACCTTGGGGTGACCTTGGGGGTCACGTGACCTTGGGAGGTCACGTGGGTCACCTTGGGGGTCACGTGACCTTGAGGTGACCTTGGGAGGGGTCACGTGACCCCTCCCGGTCACGTGACCGGGTGGGGTCGCGCGACCTGGAGGGGTCACGCGACCTGGAGGGGTCACGTGACCTGAAGGGGTCACGTGACCTTGGGGAGGGGACCACTTGACATGGGGGCCACGTGACCTCGGAGGGGTCACGTGACATGGGAGTCACGTGACATGGGGGTCACGTGACCTTGGGGGTCACGTGACCTTCAGGGGTTCACGTGGTGGTCACCTTGGGGGTCACGTGACATTGAGGTGACCTTGGGAGGGGTCACGTGACCTTGGGATGACCTTGGTTACGCCGACGCCGATGGCGACGGCGACGTTAACGGCGACGCCGCTCAAGCCGGAAATGGGCGCCTAAGAGCTGCGCTCTAAAAACACGCGGCAGTCGCTGCAAATTTATTTATTTATTTATTTCCTACTTACCCCGGTAGGCATTGCAGTAAAAGGGTGGGGGGGTATAGTACATGAGAAATAGCGCAGAACAGCAAAATATACAGAAGGCGCCATGCAAAACAAAATCAACAGCCACAGTAGAGTGCTAACAACAAAACAATTGACAAAGCAACGGATAATGGGCACCTTACATCAACATGATAGTGTTGATATTGATCCGGGAGTATATTCCGTCCGTGGATCGACTGGGAAATAAATACTCTAGGACATGAATCCTCGCACAGAATTTTCGATTTTTTTTAGAATTATCTACCCTGCGGGAAATATAGGAAGGCGTTATACAATATTTTGTCTTATCCAGACCTGTGTTCCAATAGTAAAGATTGTGCAATAGCTTTAGACTTATACATTTTCTTTTTAACTGCAAAGATTTGCATCCCAGTGTGTGCTTTGTTTCTGAGGCGCTTTCCCGGAAGTTTTAAATATCTAAAACAAATCTAGCCGCTTAGTTTTGAATCCTCTCTACTTAATAACACATATTTGCGTATGCGGGTCCCACACAACACAGGCCTATACTAAAATCGGTCGAACGTAAGAGAAATAAAGAGCCTCTTTCAGGTCTGCAGAAGTTTCCCGAAAGTTGCGACGGAGGAAATATAACATGCCGCTAGCTTTAGAACATAAACCCGTGACGTTATTTTTCCATCTGGAATCACTGGACAACTGCACTTCAAGATATTTCGCCCGAGTAGCAAGATCCAAAAGCTGGCTACCTAAAATAAAACTGAAGGAATTACTTTACATTTTCCTGTAAATCTAACATGGATATATTTGGATGTAATAAAAAATATCTTCCATCTGTCGCACCACCTTGTAGAAAATCGATAACCACCTTGGAGTTGGGAATGCATAAAGGGTCAACGACTGAAAGGGAATTTAGGTGTGTTTGTAAATATCCCGAGATTGCGTGTTGCCAAGTGTTGCGTTCCGATACTATAGTGCGGAAAGGGATTCCGGGTTTATGGGTTTTAGCGGAGAAAAACAACATTAACGTGAGGTCTTCTCCTTTTTGGGCTGCTGACGCGACTTTGTGTAAGTTGAGTTGAGTGAGAAACTTAATGGTTCTTCTTTTTATCTCAGCTGGACGTTCCGATACCTCTCTAAAATTTTTTTGGATAGCTATGTGAGCTTTCTCGGAGAATGAACCATTCGGTATTACTACAAAACACCCCTCTTTGTCGGATAATATAACATTCAAGTTGTTGGATGAGAGAAAGTTAATCGTAGGATCTAAACTGCGGGATCTTTTGGGGCTACCTTCACTTTTTAGCAAGACGTCTGTCTACACATTCGGTGATGCACCTAGGTTTGTCCTCCTCTGGTACATTCCGTGAAATGAACCTGGAAAAAACCAATTTGTCAACGCGTTTAAGGGTGGGCTCGAAGCAAAACATCGGTCCTTTTTTCAGGATGTTCTGGTGTGGATCTGGGACAGGTAGATCGCCCAAGACGACAACGTTACCTTCCTTTGGATGAGTTTTCTTCTTGGGTGGTAATGTAAGAGGAACCTAATTCCAAAGGAAATCAGTGGCCTGTGCTGTGGTCCTTGACCATCGTGCTAAAAGACGAGAGGCTTGGTGTTGATTTCTTCCCCGAGAGCAGGCGATCCGAAGGCATTCCTTGAAATGGCGGACTTGCTGCCACCATTCAGAGCACAAAACTCGACAAAGTCTTCTCGAGTGACCCGGAGATGGTACCAACCATCCGCAGAGGACTTGTAGGTCCGGTGGGCAGGAGGAAGATCTTGTATACCATGAGGCCGCCCTTGCCTTGCACACGTAGATCGCAATGAGCGATATAACATGTCAGCTTGTGAAGCAGAAACGAGTGGTTCAGAACATAAAATGTACTTTTAAAATCCCCCCCCCCCCCCCCCCAAAAAAAAAAAAAAAAAATCAGTTTGAGAGCCTTTATTAAACGAATAAGCAAGGTCGTGATAAAATTCGAGTAATTGTGTATTACATGATAATCCTGGGCAGAAATCGTGCTGAACTTGAGAAAAGAAGTTATGGTTATTTAGGTGATGCGCAAGACTTAAACAGAGAATATGTTCCATTATTTCGCAGCCTTCACTCGTTAGTGATATTGGCCTATAGTTGGTTACATTATTTTTGCGCCATTCTTGTGTATCGGAACTGCATTTCTGCTTTTCCAATCACCAGGAAGACATCCGCTTTCTAACGATTTCGTGTATAGTATGATTATATATGACGCGGCGATATCAGCACATGATTTTAACACAATGTTGGGGATTTCGTCGGGTCCGGTGGACTTTTCCAGTATGATATTGCTTAATAATTTACGTATGCTGTTATGATCAAAGGTAATGTCGTCCATAGAATCAATAATTACGTCAACAGTTGGCGGTAGAGACGCAGGTGTTGTAGTTGGAAAGACAGATCTGAAATATCCGTTGAATGCAGTAGGTTTTAGGCTGTCGTCCGTTACAAGAGCGTCGTCCATTACAAAAGGAGGGACACCCGCCAGATCTTTTCCTTGAGATTTAACATATTTCCACCCTCTTAAAGAAAAAGCTAGTAAAAAGCTAGTAACTGCAGGAGTTACTACTTCTTTCTGGGCGTTACTACCTTTCACTAAATATTTACTACCTCAAACGCGCGATAGGTAGTAAAAAGTTAACAAATGCAGCTGTTACTACCTTTTTCGGAACGTTACTAACTCTTTACTAGCTATATTTACTACCGCAAGTGCGCGGAGAAGATGGCGGCGCTTGCTTATACCCGATTGTCAGCGTTAGCGACCTACTTGCTGTTTCGGATCGCAGGGAGAGGTACCCACACGCAATCGTAGCGTCAAATATTGTATGAGGGGGCATGTTTAAGGGTTGGAGCTTACTTTATCACGATCGCAGCCTCCGTACCAGCACGTCGGGGAAGCCAGTGCTGCAGCAATCGCAGCAGCCATTGCTGATGCAATGGCCATGCGGCTTACTTACTTTTCTTCTTGTTTGCATTCGCGTGTGAGCGTTTATATTTTCCTTTTCGTTTTAACTGGGATGAAAATAGCCACGTGGCAAATACTAAAATGTTTCCGAAAACAAGAAAAGTTCATTCTGTTTCGTTTACATTTTTTTAAATTTTGGCGTTTTTTTTTAACATACGTTCTTCTTTCACAAAAGACGCTTAACAACATTGTACGACAAGCAAGTTGGAGTAGAAAGCAAGGAGGATAGAAGGGTAGGAGAGGGCATGACGTCGGCCGCGTAGCCTCCACAAGCCATGCTCCCTTGACGCCTCGCCTCTTTCTCATTTTCCACCTCACTCTCCTCACTTACCATGCCAACGTGACCACATCACGTGACCGTAGTTAGCCTTCGTCTTGCTATGGGGTACTAGAATACACCACAGTCTAGCCTTCGATCTGATAAAACCTACCGGATGGAGCGCGCGCAAGCCTGCAAGGAGTGTTTCTACAATCAACCATCCATCTCACACGTGACATGTCACGCGCACCAATCGCCAGAGAGATCTGCGGTCACGCTGGGCACAAAATCGCTTAAACGTTTTATGACTAGGCTTCACCAATATTGCAACGTGCCCCTTCCTAGTACTTCTAATCTCCTTGGTAGGAAGTCTCTAGCCAGAATAGTTGGAGCCAGTCGGTGTTCGCAAGACGCTAATTTCTCCGATTTGAACCTGTCGTTTTCGCCTTGTGTCGTGAGCAGCTCTCGTGTTCTGGTGTTGGAGTGCATAGTTAACGTTCGTTTGCTTGATGGGGCGAGTGTGTGCGTGGACCTGGGGCCATAAGCTGGACGGCGGCGAGAAGCGGCGAGAAAACTCGCCGAGGCGACGACCGCCGTGATTAGTCGGCGCCGCGACTGACCTTGGAGCCGGCAACTCCCTAGACCCTGACGTCACCGTGGCGCGAACAGAGTCCCCAACTTGAAAACGCAATCTCGCCGGCGAATCCCCCGTGACGTCATGCTGATGTCACGGTGTCTCGCCGCGAGATCGAAATGCGCGCCCGGTCGGAGAAGGGCAAACAGTGGCGAGTTTGAGCGAGAAGCGAAGATGGCGGCGTACGAGTTGCTGTACTAATGATTTTGCCGACGTCGGCGTTTTATCACGCACGTCGACGCGTTCGAACTGGACGACGACGAGTTCCGCCGGCACTACCGTTTGTCAAAGAACATCGTGCGGTGGCTCTGCGACGAGCTTTGAGACGACGCGGCCTTGAGGCGGCCGCGACGCGCAAGGACGGTGATGACGGTGGAGCAGCAGCTGCTTTGTGGGCTGCGTTTCTACGCCACTGGAAGCTACCAGGGGCAAGTGGTCAGCGACCGGCACCTCGCTGTCCACAAGACCACCCTCAGCGCATGTGTCCGCGCCGTGGCTACGGCCATCGTGTGCCGCCTCGGTCCCCGGTGGATCGCCTTCCCCGAGACCGCGGAGGAACGGGCGGGGACGCAAGAAGCCTTTCTTCGTCGCGGTTTCTTGCCCGGAGTCGTCGGGTGCGTCGACGGCACCTTCATCGCAATAAAGGGGCCCTCCAAGTACGACCCTACCGTGACGAAGCCGGTGCAGAAATTTGTACTACGCCCTGAACGTCATGCTGGTAAGTACAATATATTTTCTAGTTCGCGTTGCTCCCAGACGCACACGAAGTGAATACCAAATCATATTTACACCGATAGAGTTGGGTCTTGTATAAAACAAATATCTCAAGTTGTAGCGTAGCTTAGTAGGAAGCTTTCTGCCTGTCACGGAGTGGACCTGGGTTCAATGCAGAAAGTCGGCATACTTTTTTGGCGACATTTAAGACATTTCATTTTTCCAATTATAGCTGAAAAAAAAAAGTTGTCGACGAAACTTTGCTGGATTAGATGGCATGGGACTCCCTTTCCGGCGGTGCAATGAGGGACAGCGGGGCTTGGGTTGCTGGCTTGGCACCGCGAAGCGGCGTGTACGGGGGACCAACTGGGTGGATAGTTTTGTAATAAGCAGCCACAGACTGTCGTCGCTGAGTGGAGTGAACGCAAGGGGGGGGGAGGGGGGGGGTGTTAACACGTTCCACAGTGATACACGCGCTGTCCGAAAAGGGTGACCCAAATGGCATGATGCCTCCGCGTCGTGCGTATGGCCATCTCCGGTTAAGGTGCACGACGTCGTGTGTATAGCCTTACCGCCGATTTCACAAACCTCACTCCAATTGAGGGGCCCCTCCACTTCCTCGAGGAAGGCGAGAGGGCCGGCGCTGGCCAATGGCGACGAGCCCACGCCGCCTGTCCGTCGTCGCGATTGGCCAGCGCCGGCCCTTGCGCATTCCTCGAGGAAGTGGAGGGGCCCCTCAATAGACCGATCTCACCAGGAGTTGCGCGACGCCACCGCTGCGGCGGTGCATTCTGGTACCTGTAGTTCTTTCCAGATTTCCGGCCGCGTCAATGCGCATTGTACGCCCGACGTTTGGAACTTTTCGGGTTAGCATGAGAGTTTTGGCCGGGTGTTTAGTCATGGTTTTCAACGGGTGGCTGCACCTGTTGTATGCCATGGAGCTATGATGACAGCGCCAGGCAAAAAGACCTCGGATATTATATCTTCCCGAAAGGAAGAAGCATGGCAAAGAAAGGTAAACAGAGACGGACAGAGCGGCAAGAAAAATAGCATTTCACGATTTGTTTCGCGATTTGCTTCATAATTTCTATCCACCCTATTGCGTAAGATTGCAGGGCACGAGATATAGAGCGTGCCGAAGTGTTCCGTACGCTGGAATCTCTCTGAGCATTCGCTGCGTAGCGGTCTATCCGTTGGTCTATCTCAAATAGGACCTCCGCACTGCTTTGCGGAGGCCGTTTTTAATACACTTCTTGATCGATGTATTTTGGTAGTCATAACTGTTTTTGCGACGACATGTTTCAAGCCCAACTGTGTTTCAAAAGATCAGGACAAACATTAAAAAAAAAAGAGCAGCAATTCTAGATATGCATCACTTGAAATAAAACAACTTTTTTCGGAAGCAGTCATCATTTTTTTTTTATATACAGACGTGAACACATACAACACTTACCGCCAAAAATGTAACAAACGAACCTTATTCATTTTGTAGTGGTCGATTAGGCTGGCGTTACTGATCCATTCTGCATTAACCAATCGATACCGCAGGAACAAATCTTCCCCTCCTCGGGCGACTGTTCGGAGCTTGCGCAAACAAAATAAAACGGAATAGAAACTGTACACGAAAAATCATCTCCACCTAAGCTTTCAGGTATCTGGCATGGTTGCTTCTTTTTCACAGATGCCAATTGTTACGGCGCGTCAGGTATGTCCTTTCTGTAGATAATTTCTTCTGTGTGCGTAGGCTTCTTCTGTAGTTCATCTGTTCCCTGTCGCACAGGCTGGCCACCAGAATAAGACAACTTTTAGAAAACTATCGCTCGCCGAGAAAGTCTATTTAGCTACTCTTACTTCATTGTTGATTAAGCGTTGTCTACAAGACTGAGCACTACCAAGCTCAATTTTTCACCAACGCATTTGATGATGTTCCGCGGTGCTACACCGAGCCGATGTTCCCTCGAATTTTCTTGTTCTTTGCCATAGCACTAGATGTTCACTTGTTTCCTAGTTAAATAAGACGTCCGAGCAGCCGGAATGCTCGAGTAGTGGCCTTGTTGTTTTTTACTCGCGGCCTCAGTGGGACCACCGCGTGAACGGCAGTGGGCTCACGGGGCTCACGTGTTCACAAAGACGAAAAAGCAGACGACGACGACGCAGACGACAAAGCGATTCTAAAGCGATAAGACAACTGGAACTGCTTTTTTGCGCTTGCTGACAAACTAGGGCATCAGCCCTATGTAGCGGGGAAGCCGGAAAGGGATGACTACAAGTAGCATGGCGGCGGGACCACTTCCGGAATGCCCGCGCCTGCGCAGTTCACTCGGTGACATCGGTCTATTGGAGTGAGGTTTGTGAATTCGGCGGTTACTCCTTTTCGTAAGTGTTCGGGGTCCAGGGATATTCCCGAGTCGTATATGTTCGTGTCTTCGGTAGACGCAGCGACGTAAACAGGAATTTTTTTCAATAAGGAAGGGGAAGGGGAGGGGGGGAGTTGATTGGGATGTCCATGTCTTGGGGGGCGGAGGGGGTGGAAGGCTCGATATGTATGTGTATAATATAGGGTCGGCTGGGGGGGGGGGGGGGAGGTGCTGAAATCCGGGAAGCCTCCCCCCTGGCTATGCCACTGGGTAGACGTCTTGATATTCAAACTTTTTGAGGAACACTTATATGACAAGAAAGCGACCCGTAAAGGTTGAGGAATGTATCCGACAACTGTACAAACTGTGCGCCAGCATCTGTCCTACCTCCTTCTGGGTGCGCTCTTTATTCTGGATGTCTGACGCCGACCTGCATGCGTATCCTGCCTGGCCATCGACCCCAGGATGCCCGGCTCAGCTCACGACTTATATGTGTGGAGGCGTTCGTGGATGCGCCAGGAGTGCGTCGTTGGTCATCTTGTCAGGCACAATGAGAACCTGCTTGGTGAGTGATCTTAACTCAGTACCATGAAGACCCGTTCAGGCACTTGCAGCCAAGTACGACCAAATGAGACAAGACCGGGTTTAAAGCGTCTTACTACCGGATGCATTGCTGCGGAGCTAGTCGTAAGCTATTACAAGAGGATTTAAAATCGGTCTTGTCTCAGTCGGTTGTAGTTAAACGCAAGTTGTGGACAGGCCTTAATGTTTCAGTCAAAGGCGACCACCATTTAAATCAAGTCAAGATTCGTGGAGAAATTTTAGTGTTTGAGATATAAGAATAGAACATGCATTAGCAGTTTTAAAGCATCTTTGTTTTGAAGCACATGCTTAACACTTGTAGGGAGTTTTAGTAGAGCATTCTATACCTCCAAGAATGACACTCTATAGATCGATACGATTTACGCGCAAAGGCGTCAGCAAAGTGCACCCGCCAGCATTATGAAGGTGAACACCTTACCTGGTTTCTTGCCTGTTTTACGGCTCCCTAAAGCTATATTAACTCTCAACGTCTCAAATTGTACGTGGCTTGGGGTCTAAACTTTGCATTCTAGCCCTCTTCTCGAAATGAGCTTGTTCCAAAACTTGCAGGAGCGTCAAAAACAAGAAAAGGGCTTTTCCCCTTCATATCATATCGCTCTCAGGTGTACTGGGTATTGTTTTGGACTTACCGCAGAAATTGATTAAAACTAAATAATACCCGTTGATTGGTTGTTGTGAAAGCACTCTCCTCAAATGATACGAGTGAGGTACTAGACATGATCAGTAGCACTTGTGTAAAGTGTAGGGAGTGGTTCAGATATCTAAGAAACAGTCATACTTTTTTCCATGCAGGCGACAGTGGGTGCCTCCTGGCTGATGACCCCTGTGCCAGGGCGGCCAGCACTTGGCACACCGGCTGGGCAATACAATCAGGCCCACGCCTCCATGAGGGCAGTCGTGGAGCGCTGCATCGGATTGCTGAACAGCAGGTTCCGGTGCTTGCACAGGCACCGGACCATTTACCATCATCCGAAGATCGCTGGCACGATCGTGGCAGCCTGTGCGGTGCTCCACAGTATCTGCCTCTGCTCAGGAAAGGCCGAGCCAGAGCCCTAGTCATACTCAAACAGCAGTTCTGACGAGGACGACGACGAAGAAGAAAGTGCCGACGCGGCTCTCGAGCGGATAGGCCTCCAGTCGAGGCGTCCCTACAGTCAGGGCAATGCTGCGCGGGACCGCCTTTGCTTCTGCCGAGCATAACCCACCTGCAACGCGTCCGTGACCGACTGCGTCGCATCCGTCGTCGCCGCCAGCACCGTTGATGCACCGCCACTCGTCGCCGGGGCCACTCTGAATTGTGCGTGCGTGGTTTGTACAGTAGGGTGGATGTTGTGCCGAAGCCATTTTGGACTTTGTGTGCGCATGTGTACAGTGATGTGGATGTGCTCGAGTCATCTTGTACTATCTTTGCGGATGTGTACAGTGCGGTGGGTGTTATGCCGGAGCTATTTTGGACTCTGTGTCTGTGTGCTGTGCCGGAGCTATTTGGGACTCTGTGTCTGCGCAATGTGCTGTGGATGCGCCGGTGCCATTTTGGAGTCTGTGTTAGTGTGTGCAGTGCTGTGGATGTTGTGCCGGAAAGAGCCAGTTTGGACTCTGTGTGCGTGCGTAGGGAAGGTGTTTTAACGTTTCGGGTGTAAGCACCACAGGCTTGGATACATGTGCACGTGTAGTGCTTTTGAATTCTGTTCAATGCTTCGGGCACAAACTCCACAGGTCTGGATTGCAAGGGGTACGTGTAGTGTTTTTGTACTTCTTTTTTATGTTTTGGGTGCATGCTTCACAGGTCTGGATTGTACGGGGAACATGTAGTACTTTTTACTTGTGTTCAATGTTTTGGGTGCATGATCCACAGGTGTAGATTGCATGGGGCACCTGTAGTATTTTTACTTGTGTTCAATGTTTTGGGCACAAACTCCTCAGGTCTAACTTGTGTGTAAGCCTGAAGTGCTTTTGACTTGTATTCATGGTTTTGTGTGCAAGCTCCGGAGGTCAGGATTGCATGCGCACGTGTAGCGCTTTTGAATTCTGTCCAATGCTTTGGGTGCAAACTCCACAGGCCTGGATGCAAGTGCACGTGTAGTACTTTTGAATTGTATTTATTGTTTTGGATGCAAGCTCCACATGTCTGGATTGCATGGACACGTGTAGTGCTTCCAACTTGTGTTTAATGTTCTGGTCGCAAGCTCTAGAGGGTCCTAGATAGCATGGAAACTTGCATTGCTGTTGATGTCTGTTGCGGCACTTGCAGCGTTTTTCTAGGGATCAGCTGATGAAGGTCCCTGACACAGTAATGACAGGACTGCAAAGAATGTTTGCAAGAAAGAACAAGTAGTGTCATTCAAAGTAATAGTGCCCACTATGTTGCATCTTTGAGGTGGCGCACAGCGGCTGGGGGTGATTAACTTTGGTCTCAACTTATCTGAGTGAGAAAGCTCATGTACCCTTGCCATATCTAGCGGATGCCAACAGGCAAAGCTCTTGCTAGCAAGTGTGAATTTTTTTAGATTTTTCACTGTACTATTGGGTTCGAATAAAATTCGAACACCGAAGCCCGTGGCCGTCAACCGATGCTGCACCTGTGTGTATATAGCCACAACACTTAGTAAAATAAGTGGTTTTTGGCTTGTTGCTACGAAAGGTGGACATATTCAACCGGTGGCCAGGAATGAGGAACCGCTGATTGCTACTTGTGTTTCTTAAAAAAAAATCTATGTCGAATTATTGGCGATTTTCATCACATGTTTTTGAACCCACTTTAACGGCTTCGTCTTTAGACCGCCAGGCGCTGTTAATATTATATTCGCTTGAAATGGTTGGTGAGCGAACCTGTCTCTACAATCTATTATTCTAGCCGATAGGTGCCGTCAATTTTGCTTGTGTCACCAGTACTATACCAGCCTCTTTCACATAAGAAAATACATCCCGCTGTATTCACGCATGCAAGTCCGTTCTTACGGCGCCGCCATCTTGCTCACCGAGGTGCGCTTGGGCGTGACCCTAATCCGATTACGACGCCTTAGCAAGGCTTCGTAATTAGATTATGATGCGTCCAAACGCACCCCAGCCAAGCAAAATGGCAGCACTCTGAGTCCGAACTTGCAAACGTGTATAATAAAGGGGGATGCTACAACCTTGTGGACATATTTTAGGGCCCAGAGTTGCCTTATGAAAGTACCCATCATGCACTGTGAGAACAAAAATAAAATGTCTCCATTTTGTAAACGAGAAGTTTATAACCATTCCATTATTGTAACAATCACCATCTTATGACATAAATATTTACATTGGTCTGCAAAAAGAAATGCACTTCTTGTGATTGAAATATCATGTACATTAGAAGGAAAAAAACCCATGAAGGCTACGTCTTGGTGCACAAAATATATTTAAAGATAATAAATAAAAGAAAAGCTTAGTCGAGAGGCGGCGTAGTGAGGGGCCTGCAGGGCAGGGGCAGGCATGGCTGCCGGGTGGCGGAGGTTATCAGGACCAGCAGCAGCAGCACCAGTGTCAGCTGCCGGATAGCCGAGGTGTGCTGGAATGGCAAAAGTTTCGAAAGATGACCATTCCCACTTCAGGTCACCCATATAGAATAACCAGGGTTCACTGTATTTTTGCCATACTCTGAAGCCAAGTAATGCCTTACGCTGACTGTTTCCAATGACAGAAACATACTTCAGTTGGCGTTGTATTTCAAGCCATCTACATATTACAAGATAGGAATGATACTGTGGGCTAGAATCTCAAGAAAACTAAAATATTGGCACTGAGAGTACACCATGCTCCTCAGAAGGGGAGACAGCAACTTCTACCACGATGTCTAAATAAGCGCTAGGAAATATCACTTAATTAGGTTACATGAAAGAAGTTGTGAATATATGTTTTTATATAAATATATCTTGTTCCTTGTCTGAAGGGGAAGTAGAGTGGAAATTACAAACGATTAATGCTCCAAGGGTTATATATATGCATTTTTTTGTTATGTGTGTACATACGTGTGCCCTGTTGTACTCTGACCTTTATGCAGATCACCACCTGATGATTCTGAAACATATCATGGTATATATGACAACACGGTTTTTTCTAATAACTCTTACTAAATCCTGCAGATGGCTGGGGGAGGGGGGACTTTTCAACGAGTTTTGTAAATTGTGCCATTGTGTACTCTTCACTGTCCTCACACATACTGGAAACACTGAATGTTTCAGAATCATACTTTTTCCTTTTTCTTAACTATCATTGTAGTGAGCAAACTACTACTTGGTCATAAAACGCTTCAAATGCATGCAGTGCCTGATGTGGCAGTTTTCTTGTCTTTGGTAACAAGGACAAAGGCATGTGCACCAATACCAGTCGCCAACCCATCAAAAAACTTCCTAGGGCATTCAGAAATTTGTCTTATACGAGTACCTGCTCAAGGGCAGCAAGCCTAGCCACGGCCAGCTCCACTAATCGCTGCTGGCATCTAATGAGTTCCTCGGCCACTGTGCCAACAGAATGCCGCTCTGCTTGGGGACACCGGGGGTGGGGGCGGCTGGGCGTCTGGCTCTGAGATAAACACAAAGGTGATATTGAACCAAGTTGGGAAGGACAATAGAAAAGGCAGGAACTGCAGCCGGCAGCGACGAGTGTGCTATGACATCTCTTGGGCAGTCCATGCATTATGAAGACAGCAAACTGGTCCATATCGAAAGCGCATGCAGAAAAGACACAAGCTGCACTCGGAGAAATTTTTGTTTGCAAACAATGATAACGCAATAAAACCCTCCCCCCCTTCCCCCTCACTAACAACTACTTTTATAGTATGGAGTGGTTTTGTGGACACATGTGTCGGACACCAGGTTCCTCATCTGCCTAAAGCCTCGCATTCGTCTTGTTTCTGGACTTTCTTTGTATTTGTTTATATAGGCAGGATATACGTGAACTAAAACACAAATATCAACGCATGCTGTAAGGGACACTTATTGGTGCCACTGGTTCCTGAAACCTTTCCAACGAATACATTGCCGCCTGCCGTAGCTGGCGATGGTACAGCCTGAAAGTGTCGGGGTTCTGGTTAATCTCACTATCATGAAGCAGTATTGAACAATAGAAGAGACAAGGAAGTCAAGCAGTATGTCTGGTATCCCTAGAACCCTACAGAAATCTATGCAATCTATGATCACATGCAAACTTCTGTAATTCACGTAAAGTGGCTGCAGCTGTCTTCCGAGGACTTCATCCAACTGGCGCTCTGTAGAGAGGCTTAATGTACCTGAACACACTCTGAGAGGGCTACTGTTCATCGTGTTACAACAGACATTATAGTGATTTAACAATGTATTCACTAACCATACTTATCATTGTCGACAACTGCTAAGAACAATTACAATCACTGTGGTTGCACAGATTATGACATTTTGAGGCGAAGACGAGTAGAACACATGTGCTGCAAGTACATTTGGGCCCCATAACTGAACAGAAGCACCCAGATGAACACTCTAATCATGTCGGCATGTGCGATGAGGCCTCACGGTTTATAAAAAAAAACTTTAAATGCAGCCTCTTTAAGTACAGTATTTATGCTGCAATCTTTGCCAGATATGCTCACGTGTTCTACCGAGTACCTTTTAGCAGCATGCTGCAACTGGTACATTCCCATCAAGTAATCGGTAATCATCAGGTAAAAGGTGAATAGATAAAAAGTTGTCTAAAATTACCGAATTGAGAAATTACAACTCGATAAAAGTTTTGGTTTCACAAAATCTGCAGACAGCTAAATAAATTGTTCTGCACAACATGTCTGAAGGTCTATGGCAAAAGAAAAAGAGCTCCTTACCTGTGTCCTCGGCACCGCCGGTGCCCGCATCCCTCCACGGCTTCGGGGCCGATAATGGCAATTATTCTCCCGGCCTCGCCAGGTACTCCGTTTCCGCCCGCCCCTCTGAAAGAAAACGTCGCAATATGAGTTTTTATTTTTTTTCTTGGTCGAAAGTATGGATTGAATTAAAGTTTACAGACGTAGCTTACTCATCTCCCTTGGCGGTTTATTTGAAATGCTAACCTCAGTCTTCAGACCGTAAACATGACACTTGTCATATGCAATAGATAACCTCCAACGCCGCGGAATACGTCATATTCGCGAGCCATACATCTAATATCGAAAGCCGGAAACACTCACCCGCTGTTCATGGCGAACTCATCGGTTTTCTTTTTGGCGGTGCGCACATCAGTCCAATAGTGCTGCCACCTTCTCCTGTCTTTGACTGCAGGTCCGATGGCGTTGAGCTCGGCGACGAGCTCAGCCCAGAGCTTATCTTTATTCAACTGTGTGGCCGTCGGCGCGAGATCAGCGGCTCCCAGCGCGATTTGGGGATGTTCTGCCATAAAATTCAATAGTGCCTCGCGCTGGGCTGCCGACACTCGCGGATCGAACCTTGACATCTTTGTTGTTGGCTCCATATTTGCCGCCGATCGTAGCAGACGACTTAACACTCCGAGTGAATGTGGCATTGATTATTTTATCACAGATCACTGCAAACAACACAAATTTTTAAGTTTTTCTTCACTGCAAATCAATTAGATTCACGTTGGAGCTCTAGGAAACTTTTATCAACGTGTCCCCTTTTTTACGGGAGGGCCGTCGGAGTTCAGCTCTGCGACGAGCTGCATCCAAATCGCGTATTTAAGGGCGTGGAGTCCACCCGTCCTGAAATTTAGTATTGCCTCGCACTATACGGAATGTACCTCCTATAAAATTTGTCATTTTCGCTCGCTGGGCCGGCGGAACCCGCGATTGCGACGTGTCCGGAAGGAAGAAAGACTTAATTGAAAACCAGTTATTGCACTTATAGAGTGCATGGGCGGCTGACCCCCGTCCAGGCCTTGCTGGGAAAGGGTGTCAGCCGCATACTGGATGGCCCACTTTTGGGCTCGCTCGTTTGGTTGGGCCAAGGCAGCCAGCACCTCCTCCTCAGGGGTCAGCGGATATTGTTTCCTGGATTTTATACATTAGAACATTATATGTTTGAAAGTTCCTACTTTCTCTTTGCATACGTTGCATATAGGTTCTTTTTGAAACTCTGGTCTCATTATGTTCACCATTTTGGGTGTTGGGATTGTTTTAGTCTGTAACATTCTGAGTAAAACGCCTTTTCTTCTACTGAAATTTTTATGTGGTGGAACGTAGACCCTCCTGTTTAATTTGAAACCTATAGTAATTTCTTGAAAAGTTTGTGGAGTTTCGCTTTCTTCTTTCTCTTCCTCTGTAGGCGCCTGACTTATTCCGCGGCTTAGTTTTCTCGCGGTTTCGTCTGCGCGTACGTTAAGCTTAGGCAGGTCTTCGTCCTCGCTTAGATCAATGTGTGCTGGGAACCGAAGTATGGTTATTTGTTCTGAGTTTTCGCTGGTTTTTCTAAGTATCTTAGTCGTTCTTTTGTGTACGTAGTTTTTGATATAGTTGCTGATAGCCGTTTTAGAGTTGCAGAAGATGTGGCTGCAGTTTTTGCAGTTCGCTGCTATGGCGATGCCCATCTCCTCTGCTTCTTCTATCGAGGCGTTTCTAATACTAATGGCACTTATAGCGTTGCTTTCTGTATCTATTGCTACTGCTACTTTGTGTCCGAGCTTTTTATTGTCGTAACAAGCAGCATCTACAAAAAGTACATATTTTCTTTTACCGTAGGTCTTTAGCAGAGCTCTGGCTCTAGCTTTTCTTCGTTCCTCGTCATGATTCGGGTCCATGTTCTTTGGGATTGGTAGATCTTTATTCTCTCATATGCACTTTTCGGCAGCGTCTCTCTGTCGCATTGACCATATTTAGCTGTTAGTCCTAGTTTTTTTAAAATATCCCTTCCGGTTTTGGTCCATGCTAGCCTGTTGTTTTGAGCTTGCTTCTGTGCCTCAATTATTTCCTCCACACGGTTGTGTATTCCTAGGCGGTTCAGTGCTTCGTTACTCGTAGTTTTGGGTATTCCTAATGTTGATCTACATATTGCTCGTACTTTGGCGTTTAGTCTTTCCAGTTCGTTTTTTTTTTCATTTAGCTAATGCAGTCAAGTATATTAAGTGCGAGATGACGAATGCATGCACGAGTTTCAACAAAATTTCCTCCTTCATCCCTGCGTGCTTGTTTGCGATTCTTCTGATCATTCTATGTGCGTTGCTGATTCTGCTAAGGAGAGTTTCTAGCATGGTCTTGTTTCCTCCGTCGCGATGGATGTACATTATTAGGATTTTGACTTTTTGCACTTCAGGTACTTGGGTACCGTCTTCTGTTCCGATAGACATCGGGTGTGGTGACCGCGACAAGACCAGAAAGATCGTCCGATTTTTTTTTTTATACTTCGGTAGTTGACGATAAGAAACGTAAGGTTGGTTAGTGATGCGGCTCGTGTGCCGAT